CACGTGCACGTACATACACATTCAGTGGGTCTCACCCATGTGCACTCCTCCCTGGTTCATGCCAGGCTGTCCACTGGTGCACATTTTCATCTGATGTGAAGTTAGCTACTGCACACTGCATAAATGTGAGAAACCTTATTAAGGTACTATAGTACAATAAATTGATTCTTGTGATCTTATAGCCATGTTAGAATGTTAAAAAATATACTTGAATTAATGTTTTATGTTTGAGTAATCCTTTATTATTAGTCTGTCTACATCTCCAAAGCTCAAAAGGCTCTGTGGTTTTCAGGTTAACACTGCATATTACATTCCATAACTGAAATCTTCCAAATTATTTGAGTGAAGGTGTATGGAGTTTAAAAACAAAGTAGAGCACTTCCTGTATTATATAATGACATCACAATGTGGAACAGCCTGGTTTCTGTTTAAGAGAAGAACTCAGCCTAAATATGCAGGATTTGTGTGTTAAACATGTGTGAATGTGTGAACATGGTATGTTTATGATGAGGAAACAACATTATAACATACAGATCAGAAAATAACGTAATATGGAGTCTTTAAAATCACAGTTTAAAATTAACTATAGATTATTTAGGCAAGGAGCTTTGTTTTTTGTTATAACACTATTGTTGTAATTGTTTGGAATAATAATTGTTATCATGATTAAAACACCTCCCTAATGCATAAAAAATCTGAAGTAATTTTACCTGATGCACATTTTTTTACAGTGTAGTGCAGTTGTTCGTGTTTGGTTGCAGGCGTGCGGCACATGAGGGCTTTAGAGGTCAGATCCTTTGGGTTTTGGAAATTCTCCACTGTTCATCAGGTCCAAAGGAGATTCTAAATTAATTTACATCACAAACTCCTCAGAGGGATATATCTGTGATATGTTAATATATGAAAAGTCCTGTGGTACGATTGTTTTTCATTTTTGTAAATTCTGACTCAAATTGTCAAGAACAACCCTGTCTGCATTAGCCACGGTAGCACTTAATAAAGGTCTCTGCCACTGTACACTGTAATTTTAGGTTTCTATTTGTGTCTCTTGTGGTTTGAGCGTCTCAAATCCTGGTTATTATTCCCTTTGGTCTGTTCTGCCCCTGATGTGGTTTGGACCTGATATTAAACACAGAGAAATGTTTTGGTTAAACCCAAAACATGAAGTCAAGCAGAGCATCTGTCCACATCTGTCAAAGTAATTTAAAATAACTGACTCTGTCTGTATAAGAGACGAAGGCATACAAATGAAATGAAATCATAGAATTCAATTGAATATATGTTAATACTGTGCACTTTTAAAGAAGCTGATTTTCTGCTAGTATTTCTTATGTTGTTGAATGTTAAATACAAAGTCTGAATAAGAATAACCCAATATAGTGTGTAAGCATTTACAAAAGAAATACAATCATCAAAATCACCTGGTGACATGTGTTAGTTTATTAGTAAGTAGTGTAGTAGTGGAGTTACTAAGTAGTGGATTAACTCTTGTATTTTCTCTTTACTGGTTTTCATGTTATAATTTTTGGGTTTAGCACAGGACGCGCAACTTTCTCCCCTTAACTTTTTTTATATAACTCTAACATTTTCTCTTTTATTAGTGGCAGCCCCTTTTTGCATAATTGCTCTTGTCAAACCCTGCACAAGTGTAAACATGCAGAAGGAAATCACATCAGATATAACTGTGTACCTGACATTTCAGTAATCTGACTCCATAAATATTTTAATACATCTAATTTGGTATTTACAAAGCTTTCCACACCTGACAATTGTATATGTTTAGAATTTCGAATGGTAAATATAACCAGGTTGGTAGTGTGTCCCTAGTTACAACCAATGCATCCAGTTGTTGTGTCTTTGAGCAAGACAAGATTTATGAGTGAGATCAATGGTTGCGGATTGTAGCCAGTGTCTCTGTTAGTATGCCCCAGGATCTGTACAGTTTTAGTAACCAATACACACATCTAAATGCACACGATAACATCATAGTAACATCCTAACAAGTATATGTGTCTAAATGAACATGTGTGCCACTGCAGTGTCTTGGTGCGGAGGAGTGCTCTTCTCTCCTGTTTCCATGGTAACTGAGCAGGTGCCTGTTTTATTAGGTCAAGGAGACTGTGACACACCACGCCATTCAGTGTAATAACATCAACCATATCACCAATAGAGAAAAGAAAAGGATAATTCATATAAATTCCATAAACAGCTGGTCTATGTAAAAGACCTACTATAAGGGTTAAAGTGCTTTTAAAAGCCCAGATCGTGCATAACATTCAGCCATCAGTTGAATGTTATGCATTTGTTTGAAGAGAAGTTTGCCTGGGTTGAGAATCAATTAAATGGAATAGACATGTTGCCATTATATCTTAAAGGGGCACTATGTAACTTTCTGGTGGCAGACCCTCACCCTGTCTCCATGGAGATGTTTTTCTTTTCAATGTCAAGTTATGGTGGTCTTAAACAAGTTCTACTAGTAGAACTGTTGGTTAGTATCTCGGTATTGCCACCCTATTACAAGTAAGCATAAGAATAACCAAATAAATACAAGCATAAGAGTGATTTATTTCTTGATGGACAAATGTTTTGCTATGAGTCTCATTTCGGAGCATATGCTCAGAAGTGACTAACAAAGAAAGATTCACATCAGCCTACCTACCTCCCCTGCTTCTCCTTATAGCCCTGCCCCTTTCAAATTCCCATTGAGATGTCATACTGTTGGTACACATAAGAATGGTTATATTAGCTGCAGTGTCATTCTGAAACTTAGATGATTCTATATAGATTTGTGCCCTTGGATCATATTGTTTAAAATCTCTCAATATAAATATATGTTTTTGGAATTAAAATGTAATCAAATTAACATTCCAAGACCTTACTTGAATCAGACTTAGACAAGCCTCATTAATTCAGAAATGATATTACTTGGCCACAGTAACTTACACATTACAATATAATTACAAAATAATAATACAATTCTGAATATTTAAAGACTTCTAGTCTCCAAAAACTGAAATCACTTATGGAGCCAAGACTGGTACTTGCTTCAGCTTTTTGTGGATCATTTTCTTGTGTACCACTTATGACAATCTTGGGTCTCCGATAGTATTTTGTCAGTACTAATATGCTAATGTTTTAACTGTTTCTCTCTCAGTTTGGGCTCAACAGCTTTGCATGACTCCATGGCCTACAGGTACATGCCTCAATCTCAACACTCAAACAAGCTCAAGAATATAACTTGCTCTGCCTTTGAGTCAAATGTGACCAATAGATGGCATTGTTGTAAATTAACTGCACCCAGGCCTAGGTTACTGTTAAATATTGACTCACCACAGTGTTAAATGTAAGTGTTATATAGGTCTGTCTCAGTAATTACTACATTGAATTTTTTTTTACTCTTTACATTCTCTTTGTGCTAGGGGGAAAGTAAAACTTGATCTGCATTGTTAAATAAGTAACTACTATGGCTTATACTCACTTACTTTACCATCAGGTACATTCTATATGATCATTTAGTGCACTTTCTTTAACTCTATATCACACTTCAAATTTTGAGAATGAAAATGAAATATGCAGATTTTATTTTATAACAACAGAATAGCTAACTGCTTTGCATGCTAAATCCTATTGCAGTCAAATGACATCTTCTTAGAACTATTCTATCTGTACGGACAGTGCTGTGTCTATTTCTCAGTAGCAAATGTTAATCCTTTTTTGTGAACTAGGACAGTCAGGCTGACAAAAGCTCTGAGCCAAATTCATCTATGGCATTAACTCTTTCAACTCTGAGCAAAAACCAACCTTTTTAGTGGCCATGTCGATTTTTTATTTTATTTTTTTTCAATTGAATTGTACTTTTCCGAAAGAGTGGTTTTGACAGATTTTGGTAATTTTTTGGAACACTCCTGCCCAACTTTTACTTTAGTAATATTATTTAAAAGTAACAGAACTCTTTGGCCGTGAAGCCTATTTACTTGTAATTTGTCAAATAATAATTTCTGTGTTTTCTTATAATTTTTAAACAGAAATCTTAAATATATTCATATCTTAACTGTACTTCAGTAAAATCTGTAGTCATAGCAGGTCTTTGAAGGAGCCATTAGATGTCCTGGAAACACTGGGAGAGAGAGTAGAGTAATGCAGTGAACGTAGGAGAACACTGGAGACCAAATAGCTTTGTCTCTGCAGTTAATGGGCTTCTAATACACACACACGCGCACACACACACATACACACGCACGCACGCATACACGCGCACACGCACACACACACACACACACACACACACACACACACACACACACATATATTGGATTCCCATTCTCTTTGGGGACATTGACAATAATTTCTTGGATCCTAACTTTAGCCATAGTCAACACTTTAACCTATATCTGAACTTTAAACCATGTTGTTGATTTATTAATAAAAGATTTACATTTTATAATAAAACAATTCTCTTCAAAGTTCACATTTTCAATACATCTTGGAGAATTGAGAAAAAAATTAAAGAACTGACAAATGAATACAAGAATCTGACAAATGAATACAAGAATCACAAACACAATTTTATATGCAGAGTAAAATGGAATATTCAAAAATTGCAGCCTATGCGATCTCCTAAAAGCATCCATTCAAATTGAGATTTCGATTCACTTGCAACCCCAGTCCCCACAATATAATAAATGCTTACTCACACACACACACACACACACACACACTGTCCATTAACCATGCAATCCCATAATGCACTTCTCCTGCTCGTCAGTCAGCTGGGCGTCTTCTCATTTTACAAAACCAATGCGTGTAGGGCTAAAGAGTTGAGATTTCCAGTTTTATTGCAATATATTTTGGTGATCATTTCTTCTTATGTAGGTTTATATCTTACTTCTTCAGTTATCATTAGTTTGCTGTTTTATAGTGCTACTGGGGATAATGTATATTCGCTATGTTAAACGCTGGTTCGACCAAGCGCAAACTAACTGGACGCCGTTATGTTGCAGTGGACAAAAACAAGAGAGAAGTCCAGACCAGAGCCTCGAATGTGAGCGGAGACAGAGCAGTGCCCAGCCAGAACCAGAGCTCCAGTGAGGGGGTAAGTGGGTTCATCTTAAGGTTGAACCATTTGGGGAAAATATCTAATTGTGATTTTTCTGACAAGCATTGTATTTGGATCGGATTTATGATTTAATAATAGGATTCTGTTCAGTGTTCACATTTTAAACCTGGAGAATTCACAAAAAGACTGAAATATGAACTTGCAATCAATACAAACTAACTACAGGGTTAGCACTTTCTAGGCAGAATGAGACAGGATATTTTGTTTTTGTGGAGGTAATTGCATCCATTCACATTGTGATTTTGATTCATTTTGCAACCCTAATACTTTTATATGGTCAGAAAATACTAGATAACTAGCATAATCATGAATACCCAATAATTACATCAGATTTTTGGCTCTCACTTTATAACTATAGATCAGATTTATGTATGTATTTCAGCTTCCTGAAATATGCAACACTTTTATATCTTTTCCTATTCAGAAGATATAATGTTTAGTTTTTAAATAGTAAATTACTGTTGTAATAATGTCAATGGTCCTAATTTTTTGTCCCACAGAATGTCCATTATCATGTACATTAACACTTTTTTATTGTTTTCATTGTTAATTGCTAATTGATGGATGGAAAACTTGAAGAAATACCTTGTTTACCCACTGTTTACTGAAAGAAAAATGTGGATAAAAGTAGTCAATGTATGTCCAGCTGCAATGATTTCTCTCGAAGAATTTTTGAACTGATTGAATGTCAAATATCTACCCCTCAGGGCCCAGATGCAGTGAACACCCCCTCGGCTTCTCGTGTCCCTTCGGCCGATACGATCACCTCCAGCTCTGCCCAGTCTCCATCTCTCTCCAAACCCAAGACCCCCACTCGCTCCAGCCCCAAAACAACCTCCCGTCTTCAGCCAAGTGCGCCCAGGACCACCCCCTCCTCTGCTCCTGCACCTGCAACGGTGGAGGATGTGAAACAATCGAAGGAACAGGCAGAGAAGAAGAGCCAGGCGATTGTACAGCTCAGGAGGCTTCTGCTGCAGGGGAACAAGAGGGTGGAGGCACTGGCTCTGGTCATACAGCACCTGTTCAATGAGGTGAGGCACAGGGGGTGGTTTAATTAAGTGTATATATACAGGGTACTTCAACAATACCTTTGGTCAATTTGAATTAAGTAAAGAACTCAAATGTATTTATTTTTATTGACCCAAAGTATTAAAAAACAGCATAAAACATTATAAAGTCCTGACTGGGTTGGGTGATATGGAAGAAATTCATCAGTTTTTTCTGTATATTGATTGATCTTGATTTGATAATTTTTTTCTTTCAAAAAGTTTAATCATTGCCCTTTATTGCAAAACATTTTTAAATTCTTTCCGTCAGTGTCTGCACTCTTCTCCAAACCACACGCTTTTACTGAGAGAGGATTGGCTATAGACTTCTTCATTAAAAAGACACAGTCTGGTCATTGATGATTATAAATGACTGAATCTCAATCTTGATAAATAATTTGTAGCCCTGATGCACTATCCATGAATTGCTCGTAGTCCCGGTTTAGTCTTGATTTAGTCCTGGTTTAGTTTTGGTTTAGTTTTGGTTTAGTTCTAGAGTAGTTCCTCACGTGTGTCTGTATACATCCACAGCGCATGGATCGGGGCGAAGCTGCAGATTAGCGACTCTACTCCCTGTGAACTGTTATCACCAATGTTTTATGCTTTAAAAATGATGTATCTGGAATATTGCACCACATTTCACAAATAATAATAACACAGTTTTGACATGATCTTTTGAACACTTAAGAGTCTCAAAGCGAGTGCTTTTACTCTAGATAGGAAAGAGCAGATGTGAGGTGTGCTCACAACTTTTAGGCTTGTGATGCTCAGCCATATCCCACTGCAGCCTTTGTGATCGGAGATTTAAAATCTCGCAAGATTCTCCTTGCGTCTGTGGTGTGCACTTTTTGTCACACATTTAAAAATCAGGGATGAAATTACTAAAACATTTGTAAACATTTCTAAAACTAACCTTAAACAAAGAATTCATTAGAACACTACATTTTATTGGCTTCAAATGAAATAATTATAGTGCAGGTTAGGTGGCTTTTACTGTTCATATTAACAACAGACCTGTATGTCCCCTCAGGGATTTCTTACAAACCCAAAACAATTACAAAGAAGTCTGTGATCTAATGATTACTCCGAGCTGTCACCTCATGGCACCAGGGCGTACTTAAATCCTCATAAAACATAGATATACCACCTATGCACTTTTAAAATGACTAGTCTGCTGTAGATAATGTGAATGATAGACTTGTTTTAACACGTAATTTCTATAAGAATAATATTTGCTTTATAATAATATTGTAGTCATAATTACAGATGAATCACATGTTTTTCTCATGGCTGATGCAGATATTAATTGTTTAGAAGCCAATATTTTCCACCTGCTATCCGATTTATTACTTTGCCTGGTTCACTATGGTAGAAAGGGTATTACCATTTACTGACTATATATTTAATTAAGAATAGGTTTTGTTTGACAGCAGTAACTTAATGTTAAACAATGCATTACGGTCCATATAATATTTCATACATTTTGAAGTTGCATATTTTTTCCTGTTCAAAAGATATAGCATTTTGTTTTAAAATTTCTATAGCAGTGACCCTAATTTCTTAGCATTCTGAACCATTTGATAGGTATAGATACTTATCATTGGGTAATCTTTTCCAGACATGTTTGACACACAAATCCCTCAAATGTTCCCGTGTTTGTGTCTGTCTGAGGAGGTAAAATGAGGTAAACTGAAGTGGAAACAGCTCACAGACCCTCCCTCCCCTTTGGCAAAGCAGCAGTAGTTGCCTGTTATTACCGGTGTAGTCAGTGTATACAGTGGATTGTAATGTTTGTTTTTAGTCGTTAGCATAGCCGACAGCATAGTATAGCAGTAGCAGCAGTGATTGAGGTGGTGGGACTTGCCTGAACACATAACATCCAAAAATCATTAAAGTGCATATGACAGATTTACATGTTTTTCTAATAATGACTTTCTCTGATGGGAAAGTATATTTATCATAGTTTTACACAAGTCGGGTGGAATTTGGTGGACACATACTTGAGAATAAAAGTAAAAAACAAATACAACAGCGGTCAGTTCTAAAATGTAATACGTCTGTGTCATCAACTATGAAAATACCACCCAAAATGCAGGGTCAATTTACACACAAGGAACACATGTTTTTATCGGTCTAATTATAACAATTGTCTAATTTAAACACACTACTGTAGGTAGCAGAACATAAGTGCACATTTGGAGCCAGAAGTTGGTTGGGTCTGAAAGTCTCTAAATTTTGTGTTAGATGGAGGTCAGAGAGGGAGTGGTAACAGTAGTAATATTCCCTTTACTGTAGCCTTTATGGTTCTGTATAAATGATAGCCTGCACTGGTGTTGTGAATAATAACTTAGTGACTGTGGTTAAGTTGTGACATAAGCTCCTGTAATGGACTTGTTTTGGTAAACACTATATCCTTAAACTAGAAATATGGACAAGCAAACTGATAATGAGTGACATTTATTTTTATGGTCTTTTACAGTAATATTATTTACTGTTTGGTCTGTATGATGACTTAATGTGTGTTATTAACTCTCCACTGTGCAATTTTCTGAGGGAGACCTGCTCATCACAGAGATGTTGTTGTTTAGCCTAGAATGTTCCTCAGTATGGCATTGAACTTATCCGTCTCCATGTAGACAAGCTTATCAGTTGACCCCAATCACCGTTAGGATGCATGTCTGTTATTTTATTACAGGTCTCTTTATTGCTCAAAAACACTATAATAAAATAACTGCTATATGATAATAATAATAAGGCATCGTGCTTTTCAAGACACTCAAAGTATTTTACAATGCATTATTCATTCACTCTTTATCCGGTGATGGTAAGATATTACTGTAGCCACAGCTGCCGTGAGACAGACTGACAGAAGTGAGGCTGCCATACTGCGACATCAGCTCCTGCACACATTCCATATATGTGCTAGCCAAGGTAGGTGCCTAAGGACACAGTGTGTCCAGTATGGCACCTGGTGCTTCTTTTTCAACTAGTACTCTGTGGAGTTGTTAAATAGAGCAGATATAAGTGGCTCTCTGTGTGTTTGCCCTGGTTCATGTGCGTTCCAGGATGTGTCTGTCGGCATAAGGACTCACTGAAGGAGCAGAGTAAATATTTGTAGTGTGATTATGAGCTTGTGTGGAGTTATGGTTAAAGAGCCAGCTGCTGCTAATCTGTCCTTCACTGGTACAATATACACCAGAGTCACTTACAGACAATGTCAACCACTACTTGGGTGTCTCTAATGCCTTGAGTAATGTACTATGGACTATTTAACTATTTTTATTACATGACATAACATTCGTAACAGGTGATAGGGCTTCTCAATTATAGCTCTGGAATGGCTTCTGCTGAAAGGTGAAAGTATTCAGACAAAAACTTCAAGCTGATATTTGAAGCACGACAACAGTGGAACAAGCTGAGAAATCACTTTTGTTAAATCCAGTTCAGAGAAAAGCAGACATATTTTCTGTCCACAAATATACAAAGCACTTCCCTCACAAATAAAATAGTCTGTGTTTCTGCTAGAATAGGCTGAAATATGCCCGCCAGCATCGTTTGTTTTGGTGTGTTTGGGCATTTCACCTTTGGCTCCACCCAAACCACAATGCTGCCCTGTGATTGGTTCAGTCAGGTTCAGGTTTGTAAACTCACAGATATCACAGGAATTGGTCAGGTCTGCTGCTCCTGACAAGTTTAATCTGGTTTTTGTTTTAGAGATAGGTCAAAAGCAAAGAACTTTTTTTTTCAACAGGTAAAATAAAACACATACCTTTACAATTTGAACTGTTGACGACTACATTGAAAAAGTCAACTCTGATCATTTTATGGCCTTGTAAAGAGTCTGCTACTATGCATTTCCATTCCTCTAAGTGTCACAAAACAGTATAGTGTGTTATGCAAGTCATTTACCTAAACCTGTTCAGTGTGAGTTCTGTGACGTGTCTGAGCGGTTATCTTTGTGCATATCTTTGGGTGAGAGAAAGTCTCATTTGAAAACAACCTGTTATCTCCTCACATGTTTATGATCTGTTACATAATTCTGAGCATGCTGTTCCTTTTCTAAGGTGTCTGTGTGTCTGTGTGTGTTTGTAACAGTGGTTCTCATTATGTGGTGTGTGGACCAATAGTGATACTGGGAATTCCCATTGTGGCATTTATCCAGAATGTTGAGAAATTAGGACCATAGCGATTAGCTATTTAAAACTAAATATTAGATCTTCCAAGTAAAAAACGTCCTCAAAATGCTGCAGTTGAGACATGTTATATCCCTGGCTTAGTCCCTGTGTAGTCCTGGTTTAATACTTTTGTAGACCTAGCTTTACTCTGTGGCATCTCAACTCCTGGATACATTTAATTTGGGCTTTAGAGTTAAGCCTTCTTTAAGTCTATTTTTAGTTTTTAATTCCTTATTAAGTCATCATTAACTTTGATCTAGAGTTAAAAATCAGGTAGCTGTATTTTTGTGAGTCATTTTACAACCCTTTGTGTCTTATACCTAAACCTCAATGACTACATTTAAAATTATGGTTTACACATTTTTAGTGGATTGACAAAATGCTGAATATTGTTAACATGATGCTCAAAATATTGTCCAGATTTTCATATTTGTAAATATCTTCCAGTCTGAGCAGCAGTAGTAGTACCTGTGTTTATATAATGGAGTTGTAGTAGGCAGCGTGTACGTGGGAGGTGCAGGAATGTCCAAGCTGCTGTCAAGTCTTATCTTAAGCACTTCTACTAAAGTTATCTAATCTGGTATTTTTAAAAGGTGCTAGTGATTATAAACAGGCCCAACCAGACCGACCCAGGACATTTAAAGATGTACCAAAAAACTTTTCGGCTTGTGTTCATGGAGATGCTAGTAGTTTGCCTAGAATGTGCCATGATATATTGAGGAAATGTTTTTTTGTTTTTTTTTATGTAGATAAGTCAAGTTACAGGTCAGGTCTGTGGAGACGTGACTCTGCTCTGAGTAAGAAAGCATG